TAGGTACAAGAACGGAACGGAAGAATAGTTTAGATAAGAATAGCATTCTTTAAAAATATGTGTAATATTAATAGTCTTATCCAAGTATCAAAGCTGTATAACGTTTCAAACGAATTTTTCACTCAAACGTGAGTAAGTAAGTAAGTAAGTTAGACCCGTACCGTTTCCAGTGTAGGGTGAAAAACAAAATCCAATGCACAAATTAAAAAGAAAACTATAGTGTCTTTGGTAAATGTTTATAAGTTGCTGTTGTAAGATAAGCCAATGTACATCGGGTCATTACCCTCCAGTGAACTGGCTTAAATAGTGACCGTCATAAACTTTCGACCCATCCTACATTAGGTATTCCACAATCGATAATGCTGCAACTCCCAATCATAAAACTCCACCAGCATTTTCTACACCTTCAAGCTGCACCTCTGGTACCAGATGGAAATACCGTCGGCACCAATTCAAGTGTATCACTCTTTGTGTGTCGGTTTTCCACATCATTTTACTCTTCGCTGCAGCTCTACAGATACATAATTATTTTATAGCTGTCTTCCGTATGATCTTATTCCTCTTGCATCACCCTACCGCTTTTATGCAGGCCTTTACATGGTTCGTAATACCTTGCGGTTTATACTTTGTTTTACATCCAGGACAGCGATATTGATTGTCTGTTTCTTTCATTAATATTTCTGTCACTTTCTGTTGTCCCACTCCTGCTCTACGATCATCATCACGTTTCTTATAATTGAACACAATTTCTTTACGTTCTTTTTCCAAACGTGAGAAACATCGGTCCATTTCAATACGTTATTCATTCTTTTTTTCTTGCAACAAAATGAGTGCGCAGAAGACAACTTTAGGTTTTGGTGATTTTACTGCTGACGGAAGAAGACAAGATTTCCCGTGGTTTCAATCGAACTGCGAGAAATGGGGGCAATCTCTTTAGGGAACCAGGAGAATCCGAATGGCTTGTGAATATACCAGCGTGGATTTTCATGGGCTCCGATGTTACTAGGTGGGAAGAGCTAGAAGGGAAAATATATGGATTCAAAAAAATAGAAAGCGAATTTGAAGACTTACTTGACGATAAGGATAAAGCGCCCGAGGCAGCGTCTCGGTGACCCAGTAAAGCGTGACTGATTCGAGAATTGTGTCTAGTGACGGGTCTTCATCAGTCCACTCCAAGAATTTTTCGCCGATCCTATCGCACGAAGAAATTGAAATCATGTTCAGAACTCTTTTGAGAATTTCTCAGAAGAATATTCAAAGTTCTTGTAGTTCAGGCGATCTTCGGAAAGCTCTTCATCAACATCTTTCTACGATCACAGACACTCGAGAAATGTTCTACTGGTACAATTTTATCGGTCTGATGCAAACGACGAGAAAAATGAATATTTATAGCTCAGGTTTGAGGGAGTTGGCACTGTAAGCTCTGCAAAAACAAAACATTATTCTTGAATCCTGCAATGATTACTGTAACTGTCCGATAATTACCAATAATAGGCTCAATACTGTTCAACTTTCTTTTACTCACCAAGCTAATAATGCCACAGGATTACTAGCGAGTACATGTCCAATCGTGCTGGTTCTAGTAGCATGTTCTTGGGCATAAGCAGTGCCTGTTTTCATGAACTCGGCTCTTCTCTTAAGACCTTGGCATTCATATTCGCTTAGTTTTTGACTCTCGGCTTCAGGCAGGATCGGAATGTTGCATAAGTTCACTGAAATATATACAGCGGCAATGTCAGCTTGGTAACAGAGCAAGTAGTCTCACGATGAATAGCTATAACAGAAGAATGAGAGTAATGATCAATGACGAAAGAGATTATTATAGAACCTCACATACCTTTGCAACTATCATATTCGTTGGCCATGATTCGAGCAACCCTGCTGCCGATGTCACCACCTTGAACGACGTAGCCTTGCTCAAAACCCAATCCGATGAGGAGTTGATTGAAAAGACGTGCAACATCTTCGGTCCCGAAGTTTTTGTCGAGGGGTGGACTCGAAGAGAACGCATAGCCGGGAAGGGAGGGCACGATCAGATGATATGGCAATGTGGAAGGCGTATGATCGCTGCTCAGAACAGTGAGAAAAGATAGGAACTCGAGGAAATTACCTGAAAACATCGTAAAAGAAGAAAACAAGATGTGCATTCAATAGGACAAACAAAAGCAAAAAACGTTTGTGCAAGGATTTCGATGAAGTGAAGTGCTGGAAGTATAGTATGGCGATCTGTGGTATACCTGGCCATCCATGAAGTAGAACGAGTGGCACAGCATCAACTTTGTCGGAGAAGAGGCCGATAAAATGAATCTGGTATTCTTTGCCATCATTGTCAACAACAGACGCCATGTAATGTGGAAAAGAATTCATGTGCGCCTCATGCTTACGCCTGTACGAGTATAAGAAGAGGATAAAGCATTAGGGAGAATTAGAATAGGATACACATACCAATCGAAGTCTTTTTCCCATTTCTCTTTGGCTTCGCGAACCCATTTGCTTGTGACACCATATTTTCGATCCTCTTGAGATCCTTCGTAGGTCGGTGGAGCAAGTTTGGACAGTCTGACAAGACTCTTCAATTCATCCAGCGTCGATTGGGGAATAGACACCTTGAATGGTATCAGTTGAATAGTAGCTGAACGAGGTAGATTTGTAAATGGAACAGACATTTTTTGATTCGTGTAGTAGATCTGAAATCTCACTCAATAACAATCGTGTTTCACAAAAGCCAGTCTTCTCCCTTCTTTGGTCGGACACTCTACGTAAAGCGACTGAGATTGATATACGAAATATACAATCCATGCAGGTCAGTAACGGTAAAGGTAATATTTTCACGCATAAAAACACCTTTCTTAGCGGCAATGTGAGTTTTATATATATTCGAGATGCATGCGCATGAAGAAAGAGAATCAGAGCATAGATATGTGAGAGGTGAGAGAAAGACAAAATGCACAAGCGAAAAATATATTCGACATAACATAGGAAAGAATAGAAGAGAATAGAGTCAGAGGGTGCGTATGTGCACTTTTCAAACACAAAATACGCATGCTTGTGACAGAGATGACAAAAAGTGTTTAAACATAAGCTTTCACTTAAGGAGTATTCGAAATCACCTTCGGAATTATAAAAATAACAAACAAAAACTCAAAGTAGAAATTCGATAGATCCTAAAAGATCCATTACACAGGGTCCAAATCGAGCAGCGAGATATCAACGACTAGAAGTCTCTAATTCTCTTCTATATTAATTAGTCCCGTTTCTTTCTTTTGATTTAACAGACAACTAGACAGACGCATCGCTTCTTTCGCTATCTGCTCTTTTGTTTTAGAAAATATAGGGGAAACAGGTGGAATTGCCGTTAGGGCTGGTGGAATGGGTGTCGGATGAAGAAGCTGTGGATTCGCTACTCTTCAAGACTCGCGAATGACCAATGGCTTTCGAATTCAGAGGAAATACGCCCTCTTTCAGAGGGAATTTCACAATATTCGTCTTCTTGACAGCGTTCGTTTTCCAAGTTTCTTCAGAAGAGTGAAAAATTGGGCTTTATCAATCGCACGATTTCGTGTACGATTGTATTCGTCTTTGAGAACTCTATGAAAGACTAGACAAATAGATTCTCTGTTGAAAGGAACAAAATTCACATCTTCCATTCGACCTTCAGGGGATTAAAGAAGTCGATATCGAGTGATTGTAATAAATCGCGAGAGAGCAAATCATACAGACAAGAATATGACTCTATGTGAGACTCTATGTGAGAAAACATAGAGACAAGTTCAGCGGCAACGTACACATCATTTTCGACCGCGGAATTCAGCCTTTTGACCATGAAATGGCCGCCATGACCGCCAACGATCGGTAGCAGCGGACGTGGAATACCGATGTCCTGTCTATCTGTTTGTCGAAATGCTAATGGTACGATTAAAATTCGTATTCAAACGAATGGCTTACCTCCGCGCCGTGCCAACGTCCCAATGGGCAGTTTCGCCGAACTAAATGTCGATTTTGAGGTCAGTTTTAATCCTGATGTGAGCTCGCTCACTTCGCTGAATCAAAATCTGAATAGTGTCTCCTCAATTTCACAATATAAGTGCACATTGCCTTATCCACAAACACCTTTAGTTTTTGCTGTAAAAATCGAAAAATGAGAAAACTAGCAGTTGTCTTAATGCCTTTTTTTAGGAGTTATACATACTGCTTGATAATTGAAGGACGTTCTATCTAAGCAAGTATACCTTTGTGTTGTTGTTTGCTA